TAGGGGGGGGCAGCTTTATTTAATGGCGATCTTGAGCCGGAATAGTTTCAAATCCTTTGAAGGGGAGTCGACGGGAGGTAAAGAGTTTAGAAAGTTTCTTTCATAGGAGGAAGGAAGATAGGGGGGAGGGGGGTGAGCTTATAGATCAAATGCGATGTCAGTACTTGGGACTTTTTTGTGTTTTCGCTTACACTCTGTACACCTAATGTTATCCACGAATATACTATCTCTTTCTCTTTCTCTCTCTCGCCCTCCATCTCTCTCTCTTGCTTTCTTTCATTTCTCTCTCTCTCTCTCTCTCTCTCTCTCTCTCACTTATGATACTTCAACAAAAACAGTCTCGCTTAATAAATATAGCACAAGAACACAAAGCTTCGACTGACATCAGTTTCTCGTCACACAAAGCCAAGTGCACTGTCCAGAAATCGTGCAACCTTCGCCGGCTCTCCAGGCGGGAATGGAGTTAGGCAGGACCAGTCCAAAGACTTGAGAGAGACCACCAAATCTTTAACCCCACAGAAATGCAAATGTCCGTCCTTGGCGAGCTTGTGGGCCAGTTCTGTCTGGTGGTTGCCCATGAGCTCCTCGTTGACCACCACCAGCACCGGTTTGCCCAACCCCAGGCAGTCCATGACGCTCCCAGCGCCGGCGTGAGACACCACCAGGTCCGAGGCTGCGATGTCGTCTTCGATGGAAGCTTTCAGCCGGAACCACGACACGGACACAGCAGGGTGTCCGTTAGTGCGGCTGGTGGACTCTGAGGGCTCGTACTCTCCCCTGCCTATCTGTGCCGTGAGCTGGGAATACCCTAGGGCTGCCAGTGTCTCGAGAGCTTCCTCGGAGGTGATCTGCGAATAAAACAGTTACTGTGGTTAGGGAAGATTAGGATTCTTTATATTTTAAGTTTTAGTTAGTAAGACTAAGAGTTTTAGGGCACTTGCAAAACAATAAGTGCCGAAGATTAGAAGTGTCACAAGAGACCAACAGACACAAAAAGGAGGGATAAACAGGACGATGGATATCTGCAAATGAAATAGAAGGGAGCATTCGGGGTGGGCTTTTTTGTGTAGTTTTTTAAATCTTAATTTTAGTTAGGGTTTTAAGGCACTTGCAACGCAATAAGAGCCAAATATTAGAGGTGTCACAGTATAGTAACAAACACAAAAAAGGAGGGGAGATCAGTAGGAGAGATGTTTGATAGGGATAGAAAGACGGAGCAAACCATACCAGAGTACCCGTCAACCACTAGCGGGCAGTTCTTTTCCTACATGAGCAAAGGCATCAGTATACACAAAAGAACAGCGTTGAACCAAAGTACATGTATTCCGAACTTTTAAAATTGCCTTGGAGCCGCAGTTGCATCGGTTAGAGTTAGAGAGCAAATTCGAGCGAGTGAAAGAGAAGCATCGAAACAAGATAGACAGACAGACATACATACACATACAGACAGAAACTGGCAGACAGACAGACAAAAGAATAGAAAAACAAACTGGTGAACAAATAAAACCGATGGACAGGCATGCAGACAAACAGACAGACGAACAGACAGAAAGGAACAGTGGAAAAAAAACAACCAACAACAGATGAACAAGACAGAAATACTTTTCAAAAGTTACTTTGCTTCTTCTTTTTCGTTTGCATAATTCGATAAAGTACATTTCTATTGTTCTGGTGTGCTTCTAATTTTTCCTCCTCTTGAGACTCAGCGACCGAGGAATCTGTCACTGTAACATCATCAACAACAACGACAACAACAACAACAAATAAATACTGAAATAAGTAGCCTATAGATCTAAACAATAAAAAATAAACCCCCCCCCAACAAGAAAAAAAATCGCCAGCAACAACAGTCACACAGAACACAGCTTGCTTTTGTCAAAACGCTTACAAGCAGAACATAAATTCACTGTCCAAGTCCAAAATGTAAACCATCTGCTATAAAGCTATAAAAAAACAAAAACAAAAAACATTTTACATTTAAAACTTGTCACAAGTACAAGCTATTTCATGTATTTAACTTTGAAATGGAAAGTAATTTTCTGTGCAGGTGCTGCGCCTTAAAAAAAGACGCATTAATTAAATTCTACTAAAATATAACTGTTCTTTATGCAAGCATCTCATACAATCATTGCCTAGGTTTTTTCTCTTACGTTGTAAACTTCAATTATCATCACCATCTGGTGCCTCGACTGGCGTGGGCGATCATGGACACCCACTTCACTCTGTCTTGAGTTGCAGCAATGGTGTCTGTCGTTCTTGTTGTTCCCAGCCATGTTGTCAACTTGTCCAATATCTTTTCCCTCTGTCTGCCTCTGCCTCTCTTTCCATCGAACTTGCCTGTTGTTACAATATTTTCCTATGTTTCTTTCCGTATTGTGTGTCCAATGAACTTTGCCTGTCGCTTTCGTTTATTCGTCATAAGCTGTCGTCTGCATTTTGCTGCAATCAAGACTTTTTCATTTGTTTTTCTAGCCGTCCATGGGATACGCAGCATGCGTCTTGTGAACCATAAGGCCGGTCCCAGAGTGGCTCTGTAGGTCTGACCTGTAGCTCGCCTGGCGCACGCCGTCTGCGTGTCTGCACAGCCGCACTGTGCGTTGGAGCCTGTGTCTCAAGTCTCAGCGAGCGTGAGCCACACTCGCTGTGTGTCAGCACAGCCGCACTGTGTGTTGACGTGTGTAGGTGTGCAACTGACGGGTCTGCCTTGCTATATTTAGGTTCTGTGTAATCCAAGACCAATTATACCAAGACGGGACAACTCTTCTTTACGTCATGTGCCAAGTGCAGCCCCCCCTCCCCCCTCTAGAATCTAGAGAAGCACACCTAGATCTACGCCAAGGCCTGCCTCGGCCCAGGCCTACGACAACAGTCGAAACTAGGTCAACTTCTCGATTCGAAGTTTCAAAGTATGATAAAGTGCATTTCTGGGAGATTTGGGGGCCAAGTGTTGATTCTAGCATCAATATTTAATAGTAAAGCACCTAATAATACGTACTTCTTGTTGATTTTGATGATCTGTGAAGAGTTTCAGTCGAAAATAAACACGAAGCGAGGCGACACATGTCCGCCAATTTTACAACACTGTTGAATAGCACGTCTGACGCATCGCGCAGCTCTACTGACAAAAAAAAAAGACGATACAGCTACGCTGCTTTAGCACACGATAATGTATACATTCATTTGCACGGTGCGAGCCAGGCGAGCTACAGGCCAGACCTACAGAGCCACTCTGGGACCGACCTAACTCTGTCGCCTCAATTGTTCTTTCCAGCTTTCTATTGATTGTCCATGCTTTGCACCCGTATAAGGCCGGTCCCAGAGTGGCTCTGCAGGTCTGA